TAACCTGCTCTGTTATCCATGTGACTGTTAAAACCAAAATAACAGATAATGAAAACCTAGTGTAATTTAAACATCGCTTTACGATAATATATATACATTTTTTACTACTTCTACTGCTAATGCCAAAACACCCAAGCTGGGCAAAGGAATTTGAAAATTTGAATTTTAAGTTGTTCTACTTAGTTAACTTTACTTTTTTCTAGTTATTCAGCAACGAAAAAGGAAGAGCGAGACTTTCTCCAAATATTAAATATATTTAGTCTTTTAAAGATGTTTCAATAAATAGAAATTAAAGAAAAGATTAAACAAATGTCATAAATATGAAATACATTCCACATTTCCGAATTATCGAGTTTTCTGTATTTTTTTCTAGGTGATATAAAAAGAAAGGTTTTCAACAATTAAAATAGTGAAACAGGTTTATATAGCCGTTTGTAATAAGCTTCTTTATCAAAATATCTTTTATACATAACTATACACCGTTCATAATTTAGTTAATGAATAATTAATAAACATAAATCTTTTGTAGATAAACACGAGTTATTAGGTTAGGCCTGGCAAACTAACTACCTAGGCCTAACAAGTATATCACAGTAACAATAGCCAGTAGATAGATATGTTTTGTTAGATACATAAACACGAGTTATAAGGTTAGGCCTGGCAAACTAACTGCCTAGGCCTAACAAGTATATCACAGTAACAATGGTCAGTAGAGAGAGATATGTTTTGTTAGATACATAAACACGAGAATTACGTGAATCCCCGTTGAATGTACTAAATGCTGTCATCAAGAGACAAGAAATAACTATTTCCTTTCACGACAACAGGATTCGTGAAAAACAGACAGTAATTCCTACGACAGACTGTTTATGTCGGTACCGCTATTATCAAGACACTATAAGTACTAGTATAGGTTAGTACTGAACTGCGATATACGAGCTTCTAAATGCTGTTTCGAAGCATGACGCGTCTAAAAAAAAGAATTAATCGATTTTACCTTGACGCTGCCCGACCATCAAGCGTACTGAGTAAGATTAGTTTAACAACACAGGAAGTAGCAGTGAACCGCCCAAGCAGAATAGTCTTAGAACACTAGTAAACAAACGTCATGTAATGATACAGATTCTGACACTTACCGGATATTATAAACCTCCCAAATCTATTCAGTATGAACGCCCTCTACACTTCAGGAAAGTTCAATACAAAATGAAGAAATTAGCAAAATTATTCACGTTTATTTCCACTAATAAATGCACTTAAGGTAGTATTATTATAAAATAACAACAATAATAAAACGAAAAGAAAAACTTATCCGCTAATAAATGCACTTAAAGTAGTATTACTACAAAAAAATATCTATTTCGTCAACAACAACGTTTTTTTTATTATTATTTGTTTATCATACCAAAAACAGATTGCAAAAGCAATGAAACAAACCAGTTCATGCTACTGTAGGTGTTTGAGTTAATCTATTAACAGGCCATCTCGGAGAGGCCCTGGCCACTTTTATCTTTTAAGGCTCCTGGCTATTATAAAAATGATGACACATGAATACAAAATAAGATAATCAGTATCCCAAAAGAAAAGTGAAACATAATTTGAATATTTTTTATTTAACATATATTTATGACATTTGTTTAACATTTAATAAATTCAGTTTTTTAGCCCCTTTTCTGTGGATAACAAGACGAGAAACCTTACAAATGCAAAACATAACAAATCTAAATTTGAGGCCCCCTTTGAGCTTGAGGTCCGGGCCAAATGGCGCTCTAGCCTCCCCTCCCCACCTCTAATTGGCTCTATTTATTAAACAAAAAGTATTAAAGATAAATATAATATTTTTTATTTATTAATGCATTAGAACGTTAGCTTGTCGTTAAGCACAAAGCTACACACTAGGATGTGCTCTCCCATCGCAGGTATCGAAACCCGATTTTAGCATTATCAGCCCTCAGACTTACCGTTGAGTCACAAAATGTTTAAACTTCAATAAATTTTGATTAATATCAAAACCCTGGCAGCTCATCAATGAGCTTGAGAGCTTATAATGGTAAAATTCGGGGTTTTATCCCCACACAGACCTAGCTAAGTTACCAACTTTTGCGCTAAAAAATAAACATTTGATGTCCAGTCTTTAAAACTTGTGCGACAATCTATGAACTCATTTTCGCTTTTCCGAACTAAAATTTTTTATCGATAAAATATTAATATTACTGTTATTAAGGTATAAACTGGTTTTAAGTAATGTATTAATGTTACTGTTACTAAGGTATAAACTGGTTCTAAGGTAATATATTAATATTACTGTTATTAAGGTATAAACTGGTTCTAAGGTAATATATTAATGTTACTGTAAGAATTATCTTAGAACCAGTTTATACCTTAACCGTAATATTAATAAAGCACACACAAAAAAACGAGCTAAAATTACCTTAGAACCAGTTTATACCTTAATAACAGTAATATTAATATATTACCTTAGAACCAGTTTATACCTTAATAACAGTAATATTAATATATTACCTTAGAACCAGTTTATATCTTAATAACAGTAATATTAATATATTACCTTAGAACCAGTTTATACCTTAATAACAGTAATATTAATATATTACCTTACAACCAGTTTATACCTTAGTAACAGTAATATTAATATATTACCTTAAAACCAGTTTATACCTTAATAACAGTAGTATTAATATATTACCTTAGAACCAGTTTATATCTTAATAACAGTAATATTAATATATTACCTTAGAACCAGTTTATATCTTAATAACAGTAATATTAATATATTACCTTAGAACCAGTTTATACCTTAGTGGTTCGTTTTTTTGTGTGTGTTTTATTAATATTACTGTTAAGGTATAAACTGGTTCTAAGATAATTCTGGTTAGTTTTTGATTAATTGAAATCTACATGGGAAAGATGATACTTCAGCTCTCCATTCCTTCTGGTCACGTTCTCCAGTGGGTCAGTGGTAAGTTTACCTGCTAAAATTTGAGGTTCGATTCCTTGTACTTATTGTGTAGCTTTGCGTTAAAATAACCAAATTTTCTGGTCACAGTAGCGCCCTTTTTTTAAAATTTTTTTCACAGTTGTATCATTACTGATCCGTAACGATATATTTAACACGCTTGCCAGATTCAGACCCGTGGGGCGTTTTGTCACCCCGTTCTTTATTAATCCTGCTATTAAACAAACGCACAACACAAAGTTATTACACAATGAACTAAGTGTGTAGAGCCCGCCTTTATCACTACGAGGGCGTTTCTGCAAACTGAATGTAAATGTCGCGTTCTTCCAACCAAATCGCTACATATGCGCACGAGCATGAAATATTACAATAAAGTGAGAAGGCTATAAATTACAGACTTATTTACAGGAGTTGGTTCAAAGACTTCCACGAATAACTGCTACTCCAATAAGAATAATGTTTTCAAATTACAAGCAGTTAGTAGAAAATTCAGCTGCAGTCCATAAAGAACAGTACGATCCATCAGGTAGTTGCAGTCCGTAAAAGATACAAAAATCCATTAAGGAATTTGATTGTTCGTTGAATTTCGTGCAAAGCTACTCGAGGATTATCTGTGATAGCTGTCCTTAATTTTGAAATGATGGAATAAAAGGAAGGCCATTAATCAACACCACCCACCTCCCACACTTGTGCTACTGTTCTATAACAAATAGTGTGATTGATCGAATGTTATAACGCCTCTAAGGTTAAAAGTGGCGAGTATGTTCGGTGACAGGGATTCGAACCCGCGATCCTCAGAGTGCAAGTCGAGTACCTTTATCACCAGGCCTTATTAAGCAGTTAAAGACCATATAAACAAGCTAATCTATCAATCAGTTGTAATCCCTATATGGTCGTCCCCCGATGCGACAGCGGTAAGTCTTCAGGATTTACAATGCTAAAATCAGGGGTTCGATTCCTCTCGGTGGACAACAGATAGTCTGATGTGGCTTTGCTATAAGAAAAACACAGGCCTATATGGGTCCTGGTAAATCAACGCTAACTTTATGGACTTACAATGGTGTCGATTCCTCTCGGCGGACAACAGATAGTCCGATGTGGCTTTGCTATAAGAAAAACACAGGCCTATATGGGTCCTGGTAAATCAGCACTAACTTTATGGACTTACAATGGTGTCGATTCCCGGAGTGGACAGAGTGCAAAAAACACACTGTGTAGCCTTGAACTAACAAAAAATGTCCCTATAAACGTGAAAATCCATCAGACACTTGCAATTTATTTTAAAAAATGGAAGTCCACAAAGTGCTTGCAGTCCGAAAAACAACAACAATGAAATCCATCAGACGGTTGCAGTCCGTAAAAACAACAACAGTGGAATCCATCAGACGGTTGCAGTCTGTAAAAACAACTGTGG